GTATTTCTGCAGTATTTCTCACATATTGTACAGCAGTATTAGTGTTTTTGGCCATACCAGAGACTGCTGGGATAAATGGACAGATAGTTGTTATCGTCTTCACGTTCTGTGGCCTTTGTTCAACGTTTTGAGCATCTGAACGCGCTTGAGCATATCCAGATCCGCCAAAAAAATTTCGCTTCCTGGGAAGTGTAACCCGTAGGCTGACGGGCGTCTGTGCCACATAAAATTTGAATGTGGTTATTGGTTCACTGGCTATAACATTGGAAAAAACCAGCTCCCACCGGTCAACTAGTAATCTCCTATGAAGACCTCATCTTACAGTCATTCCCAAAACTTTTGAACTAACAGGAAAGAAGAAAAGAAAAAGCCTCTCTCCCAATACTCTGTTCTCCCATAGGAGAAGCGTTTGCCAGTCTACTTCACCATAGTTCAAATTGCAATTATCTCTGCAGGTCTTTGGTCCGCCATCTCATTACTCACCCTCCTTGTCACTTGTTGATCGCTGGTCTGACTAAGAAAATAACCAACCTTCTTAAGATTTCCACAATTACATTGATGTCCATTGACTAGGCTGCATTCACTAATAGCATTTCGGATGTACTTCATAGACTGAGAAGCTTGCAAATTCGTTTTCGAATCCCCATCAAAGGTTGGTAATATAGGGCACATAAAATCCCTCAGCGTCACTGCTGAGATCACTGACAATCCGTCTGCAAAGTTCCATATTCTACCAAACTGCCACAACGTTTGCCGTCTCTCAGTGGGTTTTCAGGTTCTGGAATCAATCACTGAACTTGAATTTTCCATGGAATCTGTACTTTTTTAGAAACTGACTTTTCGGTCAAAACAAGTGTTGAAGTTGCCGACGACAACTCATAATACTGTGGAAGACTAACGCTGCTTATGAACCTTTATTTTCAAAAGCACAGCATGTAAAAAGTGAAGCGGGGCATACTTCGTCAAGCAAACTGAGAGGTATTGTCAAGGAAGTTAAGCCTAAGTTACTATTGCTACGAAGACGCTCCGAACCGGTGAATACTACGACTGATTCGCGACTTTAACTCCAAAACACCAGTGGTTGTAAGAAGGAAGCTGTATTATCCGGCAATTAAAATCGAGGGTTAGTACATAGTTTTTATTCGTTTTTGTTCGTCTTCTTCGAACCTGTAAACGATTGAACCATTCGAGCCTTCGAGTTGCCCACCAATGGCGACCAAGGCCAATGAACCAACATTCAATGTTCACTTCCACTGACAGGTATTCATATTTTTATAGATAGGGAATGCCCTAAGAGTTATGAAGAAGACATGGTTCCTGCTTTGCTTCTCGTCATATCCTTCTGAATTCCTTCTGAACCCTTTGATTACCTACTACATCTGATTAGCTAAAGCATACCATGTTATAGAAGTTCTATATCAGTCTCCCTCTAGAAATGACCTCCCTGAGAACGCTGGCTCGACTGGCCTGTCTTCGAGGCCATGTTCAGGGTTTTCCATCGAGTGCTCTCGGGAGCCAACGGGTCGTCACTTTGAATCTCACGAAAATGTGGGTGCCCAGTGCGCGTAGTATATTCACATGGAACAGATTAAGATTGTCCACATAACATTTTATGAAGTATAATGATGCTTTTTGTCATCTCGAATAACTGCTGACCTTTCCTATTAAGGTTGCTATACTGGAATGTTATCTGTTGTCTCATACTTTGAGTATCATCTACCGTTACCCAACAGTCAATATCTGCATACCAATTTTTCTGTCAGGATGACTTTCGTCGAAAACCAGTCGATTATGTCCCGTCAGCTTGGTCACACAACGTTCTGAGACACCCTTATAAGCATTTTACTTAGGGCCAATTCGGATTACAGCACATGTGCTCAGTGGACTGATATGCCCGGCAGACGTATGAGCGATGAATTGGTGAATACTTACCAAGACTCAGGTCCATGGAGGTTGTCAATCACGTCTCATAAACCGTTAATGCCCAGCTCTCGCTACGCTCGGGCCCACGCTGTTCCTTTGAGTTTTCAGAAACGCTTAGTTATAACGGACGAAAAACCCAAAACACCGATCTCCCGTTTGATATTTCTGTATTGTTACACCAACATATAAAAGGAATAAGCGAACTAAGGTCTGTAAACAAATATTACAATAATAAATCATAAGATTACTTCTGACGATGTTTCACTCTCTTCTTTCTGAACAGCGACCGATGAGACGATGACTGTCGTATTGATGCCTCCGCGAAATTGGGGAAGTTGGTTTTGAGCAAACCACCATGAATTGATCGTTCAATCTTCAACTCCACTGACAGAGGTAGATGCCCATACAATAATCATTAGCGTGACAAGTTGGTTGGTGGCAAACGTCAGGAAGCCTTAGACCAAAGTTTTGTGCCACAAAGCACGATGATACCAAGAATTGAGTGCATCGTAACAGAGGGCCATCCACCAAAGAGGTCACATAACAAAGTCGACTGTTGGAATTCAGTTTGCTTCAAAGAAGGGACTAGCCTCATAAAACTTCTTGGTGTCCAACAAAAGAACCGTGAGTGTTATTTCGAGTTGAGGCCTACAGGAAAACAGGCCCGAAATCGTTCAGTCACCCTGACTTACTGGATCATCATAACTTCTGGGAACTTCACTCACCTATGAAGGAGGAGGTAGAGGAGTTTTTGACAGAGATAGCTAAAACGCTATCAGAATTTCCATGCCTTATTGAACCATTGAGGATTAGATGTAAACCAAATAGGCTTGTTTACTCTCGCAAGAGCGACTATTCACTATTTGAAAGTGCGTAAATTTAACCACTAACTGCAAGCTGAGATCATCCTGCTGGACGCAACTGCAATAGAATCAAACTTACGCAGACGAGTAACACAGTGTCGTCAGTATCTTGGCCTCATTCTACTCACTAACAACGAATAAACACAAAAACTGGGTGAAGTTTGTTACCTAGAAAGTCACCAGTCTTACTGCTCATATTATGACACTGACATTCAGAAGAATTCACCGGCTTAAAAAGGATCATACGGCATCTGTTCAAGATGTAAGGAAGGCCACTTTACAAATGAAAATTTGACCGAGGAGTCCGATCACAAACTCAAAAAATAGTTACACTGTGAATTTTATGGTAAGCAAGAGGCCATTTAAGTCAAACCTACTCAAAAATTGTAAGCTAACCCCAAGAATCACTACATATTCAGAACTCACAAAAAATGCTATACTCAAGAAGCATGCCTCGCCAGAAACCTGAAGATTGGTCAATATTTTAGTACCTGATTTCGGGAGCAGTAAACGGTGTACGTGCAATGAAATCCCACTGCAGAGCACAAGGATTACCCCTCTATAAACAGAAACAAGTATGATTCTGGAGAAGCCGTCAAATGTCAACCAGAAAAGCCTGCTATATGTGACCAAATAATACCAGCAATTCTAAAATAGTGCACTGCGACTTTAGGCACTCCATTCAGTCTATACCGTATGGCATGGAAGAGTGCCAACTACTTTCATAATGGCGATTGTTCAAACAGTAGGTACTACCTATAGCGCAAAGGCAGAGAAAAGCTTCTGAAATAGTCACAGTGGGAACATGTTAAACGGCGACTTGCATGGTGCCCAAAATTGCTGTAGAAAGAGGTAATTCTACGTTTCCAAGTTGCTAGAATCATGAAAATGATAGGCCTCATGCTGAAACCTGTAAATCGCAGCATATTTTTTTCTCAGATGTAGTAAAAGCTGCTATTTCTATCCTATTCGAAATCCTTCCCTACTGGTCAACAAACAATTGCTATCTTGAGTATGAATTCACCTGGAAGGTTTAGTCTCCCGATAAGATAATCTAGTTGTGCTCTGCGAGTATAATTCTCCCTTGGAACATCCGGAGGCACTGCTTGAAAGCCATAGTTATTTATTATCGTCGAAAATGGTCTCCTAAATAATTTAAGCTATCTGGTCGCTTTTCTTGCTGGCGATGTAAGTTTCTAAACAGCTGCAAGAACGGTTTACAACTCTGTAAGGTCGCAAGAAGATATAACTGAGTTACAGCAAGCGGAGTGATGCTTGTGTGGACGAGTGTATCTCCGAATGTTAATGCCAGAGATAACCTAGTAATCTTAATGTGGAACAAATCTATGTAAATCGGCATGGTGGTGAGCTACTCCTGAATGAAAAAAACTAACTAAGCAGAAGGAACACCCAACTCTATCACAGCCCTCTAATTAGTGCAACATCATTTGGGTGTCTCTATATCTCAACTGTTCGCAAAGCTGTACTAAATATGCCTACGGCTACACCATGGAACTTACACTCCTGAAGTGAGATGCCAATCTCTTATAAAACGACCAGAAGAACATGACTAAGGGTAAAATAGTAGAATCAGAGGCCATATGACAACGATCTGCCGGATAGAGAATAACCTGAGAAATACGGAAATAAACGGATTATTGTAGTGGCATCTGAAGGTAATAGCACATGGACAAAGAATCGGTCTTTTTTATGTTCTCTTAAAGGTTGTTGCCTATCAGAGTGATTGCCTATTGATGTAAACGCAGTTGCATCAACTTGTTTACTTGTTCGAGTATAATGAAGAATCAAAATGTTTGGTCTCTTTCTGAACTTTAGTAAGCTACTCAACTTAATCTTCATTTAGGCTCGTTTATTCTAATTTATACTTGTTACGCTAACAGAACTCGACACTTTCGCCCACATTCAGCTGAAACCCTATTTTTTGTGTTTTCAAATGGTTTTGGGGATTGTCTGATGAAAACAATTCTGGGAATCTCAACTGAGTCATAGATATATTCCCCTTCCTCCACACGTCAAAATTATCTGAGAAATCAACAGAACTACCACAGTCGACGACAAATGCATCCTAAAATGCATTAAACGTCTGCAATCATTTAGCACTATCGAGCAGTGATCAACAATACACCAAAAGTATTTGCAAACCCGTCAGCTATATATTGAAGATTGAAATATTAAATGTTCAAGCTGGTTCGTTAATCTACTTCTTGTTAAATTTTACCTTTGGTGGGAATACAAACTCGCTCCCTTGAAGTCGCTCGGCGGTGTGATGTTGTTTCGAGTTCTTGTGTGCTTGGTTTTGATTTCTAGAAGTAAGTTCCTATTATGAAAATGTTTATGAATTCTAAAAGGCTTGTCGGTGGATTTTATAAGGTTTGAAAAACTTAATGCAGCTTCTGGGGAATCACTAATCTTTCTAACAGATGATAAACCCACAGCTATTTTAGACGCTTCAGCTACGCAACAGAGAACTGTGTATTTTGCTCAAAGAAGTCCTGTTATGGAGTTAAAATTGACGTTCTCTTGTCTAGTCAACAATCAGAGAAATCCACTTCAGAAAATATCACTTTGCTGCCGAGGTAGTATGGAAGATCCTAAACGTTCTTGTGTACCGTTATCAAAAGTTGAAGGCACATTTTCATGCCTCAATACAGATTTCCAATTCAGTGTAGACGAGAGAAAAGGGGCGAATTTTTCTACTAGTATATCTCGAGAAACGCATATGTCCAACCCAATCAGTGGATTTTTTTCTTGTGTCATTGCTGCTGATGAATTCAACATTATTGAGTCTAATGAAATAGAGATACGTGACGCTGTTTTCTATATACGCCAGTTAAAGGACACAGCATCTCGAAAAATTGATGTGGTTGCACCTATACCGTTATCATCCTTTCCACATGAATTTAGGTGCTCAGATGACACCAATGTTGTATCAAAATGGCCATACTGGATGCACCAACTTGATGGAAGATATGGACCATACAGATGGAAACACTGTTCTGCAGCAGGGAACCCAAATGCTGTCACATGTGCAGAAAAGACTGCTGCATTCCCTCCTGATACTATTGTCACATTCGTAAATGGCAGTGTCTACCTTACAGACCCTAACTTTATCGACAAGAAGCCTGTCGCAATTGTATGCACTCATTTATATCAGGTAGGGCCTATCAAAACTTTTGCTGGTAAAGTTGGTGGTTCTGAATTCCCTGTGATTGCTGGTGGTCTTTCAATAGATCATAACGTTATGGAGCCCAGTGATAGTAAATTGTATCCTCTGACAGCATTATCATCTGAATATGTTATATCCAAAGGCAGCAAACTGGAAGAATTTGTCCTGAAAGCTTTATATCGTCAACCCCAAGGTGATTATGAGTTTCACTGGTTTAAAGATGAACAGCTATTGCCTAAAAAAGCAGCAACAAAATACAGTTATCAGCTTCCAAATCTTGTAGATGAATCACTGTCTGGGATGTACTCGCTTGTTGTGAAATCTAACACTGATGTTTCTGATAGATTAGTTTTCACTTATGATGTAAAAGTGGTTTCGCCTCCTGTCTTCAAAGATCCAAAATGTTTGAAAGAGTTATTTTATGTAATGGAAAACAATAACTTTGGTACTGTTTGTGAATTTGATGACACGTTAGATACAGCAGTATACGTCGGTGTAGCTTCCTTAGAATCGACTTCATCACATGAGCTTCGTCGTTCGATTGAGGATAACTTCAAATATTCTAGACAACAACTTTCTCAGTTGGACATAGATTTCCATTTGGATGGAGAAAGCACAAATAGAAGAGTTACTATCAATATCACAAGCTTAAAACTGGGACAAGATTGTGAACTATCTGTTCGTTTATCGTCTAAATACGGACACGCACGTATTTCAACCTCAATTAAAGTAGTTCGTAAGTACTTATTGAAATTTTATCAGTTGAAATGCTTTTAATACACTAAGTTTAACCAAATTAATTAACAGTGTATTGTAATTAGTAGACATTCCTAAGTAAAATGATACGTGACAGTAGAGTTGTGCTGACTTCAACAGACCAACACTGTGGGCAATCGACTTTCAACAAGCTTTTATGAATTTCAGCTCATTTACCCGGAAATGAATTTGCCAAACTATTGTACCAAACTATCTGCTACACTTAGTTTTCCATGCTTGTTGCTACTTTATATTTGCTAAGGCTGAATTAGGTGGTGGCAGTATTCAACTACTTAAACCACTGAACCACATGTCCAATTTCGACCGGTGTCATTAGTAAACCCAGGTAGTATTAGTAGCTTTCATAATGTGTGGCACATTACAAACTACACTAGCAGACATTTAGCGTTACGGCAACATAGTAATGGTGGACTACTTATCGTAATATCTGATTATCTTAAATACTTAGTCATGTTATGAATGCAGACAGGTGGGCAAACGGTAAATGTGTTAGTTTTTAGGATGTCCTAGACTTTTCTGCTTGTTAATTCCATTTTTACTAGTCATTAATTGTGAGAGAGGTTTAATAGCGCGGAAAAAGGAAACTGGATACGTCCGTGGTTGGCTCATCGAATGTATTAGTGGTTCTTCAGGTAGGTGTTACCACCTGTTAACCACTTTTATTCTGGAGGTCGCATTGTGCTTAACTAGCTGACTGTTGACAAAATCTCAGTATGTATAGAAAAGTTTCATTTGAGATGCACCAATTTGCTCCATTTTTTGGAGTCTGTGAGATGTTTGGTTATCTGTCAAAGGGTGCACCAACTGTATATTAATTCTGTTTTACCCTTGTGTTTTAAAGCCACTTCTGAAAGAATTAGAACTCACGATGGTTGGGACCATGTGACATATACTGTTGTGGTTAGATAGAAAAGATAATTTAGGTTAATTTGTTCGTGTATTTTTAATGATTCAGGTGATTTAGAAAAGCCAGTATGCCTGATAAGCTGTAGCAAAATTAGTTGAGCAGGAAATAGCAGGGTACGCCGTCGTGTTGTTACGTTCATTCATTCGTACGTGCACTATCCCTAGCTAGTTAAGCACCCCTGTTTGGCCCGAAATATACTTTGTAATTTGAACAATCAATTTTGGTGTTTTACTTTGTCTTTGGTTTAAGCAGACCGAATACTTTAGAAATTGTTTGTATTAGATCTTGAGTTAGTATTGATTGTACTATCCGTGAACTTCAACACCCTCAACCCCTAAATGTAGGGTAACTAGGAAGTAATGCACATATATATGCCTAAATGTGTAATAATGTCTCATTTTGTCTAAAGATATGAAATTTTTCACATAAACTTAAATTGTGATTTATTTTTTTTCTCTCCTTAAACTAGCTAAACCTCAACTTACAATATCACCGTCTAACGAAAATTGTATCAAAGAATGTGATGAAAAGCCATACAATATATCATGTGGTCTAAATGAAAATGTTGTACAAGAATGGAAGTCAAGATTTAATATAGAACCATCTGTTGACTGGATTATTCAAAATCAATGGACACTGACACATTTAGAAACAAGTGGTTTAGGGCAATTCATCACTGTAATTGATGGACATGATGTAAGTTGAAAGTTTTGATGCAGGCAATAACCACTATTACTTCTACTATGTCTCAACTTTATTAAATATTTTCGCTTAATTTTAATGTCTCATATTTGGCATATATATATATATATATATATATATATATATATATACATCTGCGTCGGTGGCACAGTGGTTAGAACTGTCACCGACCATACACATGGTCTGAGGTTCGATCCCCTCCCGACGAAGCACACCTGATATCTATGGTCGGCCTGCAAAATTTGGGCTACCGATATCCATGCTGAAAATTCCATACTTGTACCGAAAATACAGTGTGGAATCAAGCTGTAATCATCTCAGAGGTCTGATCATATATATATATATATATATATATATATATATACGAATTGATTTTGTTATGATGGCACAACTTGCATATTCATGGAAAATTCCCCTTCGAACATTAATAGACAGAAGACCAGTAGTTCAGCCAAGAGTCTCTTTTCGCCGGCGAATTCACTTTCATAGCTGTACAATCGCAAATATGTATATATGGTTTTTTTGTATGTGTGTGTAAATTAAAATTGTCAAACGAAAATACAATTAGTAAGTTCAGGTGAATTGGATGTTGACATCCGAGGGTAGTAACAAAAGTGATGAGTTGTCATCACAAATGACTGTTAAAGAAGAGTTACGTAATAACGTGAATAGTTTGGCGGAAGAGTTGTGCTCAGGATGTACATGGAGACAAAATAACATACGAAATTACGTAAGAGTTTTAAGTAGTTAGAAAAATAAGCACACAAGTAAAAGTTAGGTCAAATCAACAGAGTTGTTACCATGGTAGTAGAAGTTGTTGAATAATTTCCTTTTGTAAGCATAGTTCTGGTTCTTCCAAAGGAATGGCCAGAGCTTCTGCGATGCAAAGACAATACATTTCCGTCTGTTTTGCATCTCAGACCCCCTAGCCACCACACAAAAAATTATTCAACCACTTCTACTCTCATGGTAACAACTCCATTGGTTTGAGATAACTTTTGTTTGTATGCTTGTTTTTCTAACTACTTAAAACTCTTACGTAATTCCGTGTGATATTTTGTCTCCATGTACATCCTGAGCACAACTCTTCCGCCAAACTATTCACGTTATTACGTAACTCTTCTTTAACAGTCATTTGTGATGACAACTCATCACTTTTGTTACTACCCTCGGATGTCAACATCCAATTCACCTGAACTTACTAATTGTATTTTCGTTTGAAAAATTTAATGTACACATACAGATACAAAAAACAACCATGTATATTTGCGATTGTACAGCTATGAAAGTGAATTCGCCGACGAAAAGAGACTCTTCGATAAACGACTTGAATAACCGGTCAAAATATCCCCGTCATCAAAATATTTTATAATAGTTTTATTGTTTTTCTTGGTTGTTTTCTAACTTGACTAGAATGAGCCTCCAGTCAAGACAGTGTGTTGTTGCCAACGGATCACTTGGAGGAATTCCTCACAATGAGTAGTAAGACATGCACACACACACAGAAGTGAGATTTATCTGAGACAAACTGCAACAACAACTTTATTTTCAAGTATTGGTTTTGTAGGGATTTTTTGTTGTTGATTGCATGGAGGGTTTCATCATGAGCTGACATCAGTTAGAGAACCATTGGAAAACCACAAGGGAGTACTGCACAGCTGTTTCGTCCTAGTTTGGGACTCTTCATCAACACGCACCGACTGGTTAAGTTAATAAATGATTGACATTTTCACTCTTTCCAAGCAAACACACATATTCGTTATTGTTCATGTTCCAGTGGATCATACGAAGTATGAAGAAGTCAAATACTAAAAGGGACTGTTACCATTTTATTCTAAAATTTGGATAACTCTAAGTTTTGGAAGTGTGTAAATCAGCTGTCGTTAGAGACACGTTCGTCTCATGGTTGACTAGATAATACCAAGAAAGTTGGCTTTTACATTTTCAATAAACAAAATGTCTAAGATGTACTTTTATCTTCTTTTCATTCTGCAACGTGGAGGTTACAAATGAGTGACAGTTACGTACTAGACTTTTCTCGTCAGGTTTTCCTAACACACACACACACACTCGCAGGGTTTACAGAAGGTTAATATAAAAATCAAGGCAATATGTTTGGCTAAATTTGAAGTGATATCCGGCTGTTGACCAGAAGGCGTGTGTACTGCTCAGCAATTCGCTCTGTGTTCCTTTGTGGCTGCGAGACATGGCCACTGAAAGTGGAAGACATGAAAAGGCTAGCTAGCTGCCATTGATCATAAGTGTCTGCGTTCTATCTCCCGTGTTAAGTGGTATAGCGAGATGATCAATATTGAGATTAGGCGTCGAGTGCTAGGTAGGTGGGAGGGGAAATGAATCGATGAGGTTGCGAAGTTTTGCACCGATTGAGATCGTTAGGCCATGTGTTACTCATGCTTGGCCACCGCCTTCCTCATCGGGCGATGTGGCGGATATGCCTTGCTGACTGACTGTGGTGAGTGAATGACGACTAGCACTAAACCTAAGTGCAAGACTTCCTCCCATCTATTGGCATCAACCATCTATTGAAACAAGTATTCTGTATAAATTGTTCACATGATATCTGTGTTTCATAGCTTCACTTACTTTTGCATGGAGGATTTCATCATGAGCTGAAATCAGTTTGAGAACCATTGGAGAGCCTATAAGTACTAGACAGCTGTTTCGTCCTGGTTTGGGACTGTTCAGCAGTACGCACACACCACAGGGGGTTCGAACCCAGGACCTTCTTGTTATAAGGTGAGCTCGTAGACCATTGAGCCACTGGGCCCCGATCCAATGGTCCTTGAAATCTCACTTCTGCCAATTCACTTACTTTTGTTTTCTGTTACAAAAGCCAACTGTTTTTCAAGATTATATTTGCCTCAAACCTCCTAATCAATTTAAAGAAATCAATGAAAACTCGAAGAACATCTGATATAAAGGATTTGTGATTTTCCACTGAAGTTTCATCTCCCCATACCAGCGTATAATTTAGGCAAATGTCGTATTAACACATGTGTAACTACTGTGTTTAAAGAGGTGCACACTTATTGTTTGGGGTTTGGTTAGTTGTCCATACTCCCGTAAGTGGAGAGTGGAGTGCGGGGTTGGGATGGAGGGCGATTCGAGCCCATAACTTGCTGTTTGGAAGTGGAGTGCTAAAATCACTGAGCCATAACTACGGTTAATCAGTCACTTAGATTAGGACATCACACTTATTGCCTTTTATATTTACTTCAAATGTCTTACTCCTGAGGTATCTCTTTACTTTACTTTACAGTCAACACTAACCGTATGGCCAGAGGGTAAACCAAATTCTGTTGTTACTATGGTTCAAAACAAAGAAGTTGTCATTGACGAAGCAGTAGAAGTAAAAACAGGAGAACAAGAAGCAGAAGGAGAAGAACAAGGAGGAAGAGACGAAGAAGAAGAACAACATCATCAAGAACAAGAACAACAACAAGAGCAGGAACAAATAGTAAAACCTGATACTCACCAAGAATCATCAGCTCCAATTGTCACTAGAACAACAACAACTATGACATTGAAACAATTTCTTGCACAAAAAATTGGTGGCACTGATGCTCAACCACCAAAAGATTTAATATTAAGCTGTTGGATACGTTTATCAGTAATTAATGGTGAAGCTGAATTTGATACCCCCAGTGGATTATTATTACGTCAACCATTTGCTCGTCAAGCTCCAATTGCACAATCATCACGTACAAATCGATTTATATATGATTCACGTTGGGAAACTGATACAAATCTAGCAAAACAGTTAACTGCAACACGTACTTTTACACCGGATATAATGCCTAGTAAGTTTTGAATGAAAAAGATTAAAATCCCTATTATTATTATTATTATTATTATTGTTCCCCTGGGTTCCGAGTGGAATACAGCAGGACGGGGTAGCTTCAACAGCACATCTCCACTTTGTCCTATTCTCTGCAGGCTCTCATCTCCTCTCCTCATATGGTCTCCTCCACTTAACCTTAGGACCCCTCTACGCCCAACTTGTTCCCCGTTTGGGTTCCACTCGATTACCGACACACCCTGCGCGATGTCATTCGATGATCTCCTCAATGGCGTGTGCCTAATCCACCATTTCCATTTTCTCCTACATATTTGTTGAGCGATAGGCTCTTGGGTGGTTTGTGTTCACAGAGTTCCTTGTTTCATAATCCTTTCTGTCTGGTTATTTGATCTTCATTATGGAGCCAGCGAAAGCAGTTGTTGGTAAAAGTTTGCAGTAGCCTGTTGGAAATGCTTCTCATGAAGCTCTGACCGAGTTTCTGACCCATATAGAAGAACTGACTGGCAGATTTTCACAATGGTGTTGAATATCCGAATCTTGTTGTTGATGCTGAGGCGGAGTGCAGAAGATTTCGAATCTGATTTCCGATTCTGGCTTTGACACCTTAAAATGCTTACTAGATTAAAACTATAAATAGTAAAGCTGTACCTAGGATTGTATTAATGTGTAACCATTCAGTTTTATTGACTTAAGTTCAGTTTTAAATGGATTCCATTGGGATACATGATATTGATATCCACTTTATGAGATTTGTGGAGATTTGCACTAATTTCAATTAGGAGATTTTTCGCCGAAGCAGGGTACACTCACTGGGAAGCTGTTTCGTCCAATTCTGGGACTCTTCAACCATTCAGCTTATCGACGGCGTTGGTTGGAAATAATGCTATATCACGAACTGGCAAAAGCTGGAAGCCACAGATCTTTGAATGCCAGCCCAAGTGGCTGGATGGTAAAAAAGTTTGGCCTCGTAACCTAAAAGTCCCGGGTTCGATCCCTGACGGGTTTGTGGGTGCACACAATTAAAGAGACCCAAGTTAGGACGAAGTAGCTGCCCAGTGTTCCCCAGTTTTCAGTTATCTCTCTAACTGATGTTGGTTTGTGACGAATGTCTAACAATTGGAATAAATAAGACTGACTGACTGACTGAGGCATTGATTTTCAACATCGAACTTTGCACAGAAATATGCAGGACTTTAAGTTGCCACACTACAAGGGAGAGGAAATGAGACATTCAAAAGACCCATACTAAACAGAAATGTGCGGGGAAGAGAATACTTATGTACAAAAACATGAGGATTTTGATTGGATACTAGTTGTTAACCAGTGCATTGTGTCTAGTCGTTTCTTTGGTGCAGACCGGACTCGGTCAGTCAAGTTTGCAATGTGGTCAACAGTCTAGGCAACTTGCCATCATAGTGCACTTTAGATTGTTGATATTACATGGTTGGGCAACAAGCAACATGAAGTCTCGGACAAAGATTTCGTGCTAGTTGGCACTCACTCACCGGTCAGTTAACAAGGCTGACACTGGTTACTAGTATCCAATCAAAGTACTCAATACAATCCTACAAGAGGTCAATCGTCAGCCCGAACGGCTTTTCAGTGGTATTTTCTCTGACTGCACGTGGCACTGGGTGACGTGGATTGAATCTCAGAATGGAATGAGCTCCTTTAAGATTGCAAATATACACCTTGCTGACTTACTGTGGTGAGTAAATACAAACTAACACGAGACCTAAGTCCATGACTTCCTCCTGCCGATTTCCTCCAACCATTTAATAACATGAGGACTGTAATGGATATGCGCGAGGTTCCAAAACGATAAATGCATCTGTACCATTGGGAAGAGGGATTTTGAGCCATATTGTCAAGTCCCTTTCCATCACTTGTTAGCATCCCAACGACCCCAACAAGACAGTCTACACCTTCCTGGTGTAACTGAAAGACTTCATGGATTGCTGTCAGCTTTTGGTTTTATCAACTTTAGAAAATAAGGAGAATTAACTAAGTAGAAAGTTTGTCGTCCTGTTGAGAGCACCTCTATCTCATCAATAAGTCGGTAGAATATTCGAAATCAATTTTACAATAAATGAAGCCCACGTGAACTTTAAACTAGACGCTTGATTTCTTATCGTTACTGTCTTATGAACTTCAACTTTCCAATTTCCTACATTTTATCACCTCTTTCTATGTGTCTGTCATGAATTATTTTGATCTTACGGGAGATATTTAAATTCAAAAGAGGTGTGATTGATTAAATAGTGTTAAATTAGACTCATATATCGATCGATCAATCAAGAATATGTGGTTGTGATTCTGTTTTTTTTTGCCTTGCTTTATCTTGTCTCTTATAACTAACTAAGGAAATCCGGTTCACTCATCTGATGATGTTGATAATATCAGCGTTTCCGGCTAATTATAGGGTTATGCATGGATTAGCCTCTAACACACACACACACACACACACACACAAAACATCTTTTCCTGGATAATAGGAAAGAAGACATTCGTGTGGGGTTTTTTTATTTTTTTATTTTCCTAATCTTATCTGTGTGAGATATAACAAGGATGATTTGTGAGATAGTTCATTCAATTTCATAGGTTAACTTGAAAGATCCTATACAGAATGCATATATAGGGTTAATAACAAAATTTATGTGAACTAAAGTTTATGAATAATAATGATAACAATAATAGTTGAGTATTGCCCAACGTGGTTAGGTAATGGAGTCACAAAGACAATCAGGAGTTCTACATTGTCACATTTGTGGTGGATATGAAGCACAAGATTGATAAAAATTCAGTCTTTACAATTCTATACAAGGTGCCACCACTACAATTCATGAAGTCTGTACGCCTCTGATTGCTAAGCATAACTGAGGCGGTTTCCACAACAACAACAACAAAATCTTTAACTCAATCTCTGTGTTCAGTAAAAAGTTTATTCAATCCCTCTCCCATCTCTGACTTTCAACAATCAGGCTAGGTTAATTATCTCTCCGGGTGACAACTCATCATACATGTACTCTAATGGAACTGACCGTAACTGAATTCAGCAATTTAGAGATTGAATTGTTACAATCAGGCAAAAGTCTCGGTGACTTAGCATATGCGGAAGTTGTAGTCCTTCTAGGTCATGAAGACGCTGACTGGTAAAATACGGAGTCTTCTGTGGTGAACACCTTGAGGAGCAGCAATTTTTGAATGTTAGGATGTGTTTTGGTCCTTTCAAATGTAGGATGATGCTCCAGAACTGGACTACATTGACGTCTAGCTTAAAGATACGGAGGGAGTAAAATGGTAGAGCTTGTAGTGCGTGTGATTTCTGACGAAAATTCAGCAAGGGGATACAAAAGGCTTGTGTTGTGGCATTTGACCAACCTATATCATATCTGGCGTGTAGACATGATATCCGGTTATCAATCAAAAGAAGTGCGTATTGCTCGGAAGTTTGCACTTTTCGGATATAGGTAATCATAAATAGTGAATCCTTACTGTAATAACTTCTGTCAGTTTTAAGCGTGGATTAATTATTAAAGCCATCCATCTGATGATAAGAGGAGCAGTACTCGTTTGGTTGGTTGGTGTTGCTGCTTGCATTCCTCAACCTGGACACCTTAATGATGGAAATTTCATTGTCCGACTAGACAACATCTTCAGCAATAAATCTTGGTAAATAAAAGTGAACTATGAGAATCTATCCATGGTAGGATCTTACTTTTTTTTCTTGATGACGACGTATTTTGACATCTGTGAAAACTGCTCAAGTTTTACACCATTATACCAATGTTAGTTTTGATCATTGTATTCCCATTTTTTCTTGTGCTCTAAATAGTTTCTCTTATTTTATAGTGGCTAGTCAGTGTCATCAAGCCTTTCTGTGTACATTCTTACTTCATTTGTTGTAATTGTGAATTTGGTTTATTTTTCACTGTAATCCTTCTCCTTCTCGGAGTTCCATCCCAACGTTTACACATTCACAGATCGATTGGTTTCTTTGTAGTTCGAAACCCGGTTACTAATGAATAATAATGGCCCACCACCACCTTAGTATTGTCAAATATTTTGAAAAAAACTATACTTTTTCTGAGTGCATCGGTGGCACGGAGCTTAGGCTGCTCGCCTACCATGCACTTGGTCTGGGGTTCGATTCCCGGCCGACGAACTTCTTTGCCTCGCTAAGCCAGTAATAATAAGGCTGGTAAAGAGGAAATATTGGACATGAGGCTAGCAATCCCATCCTGTAAAACTAAACACTTCTACAGAAACTTCAAACCTGGAGGAATAAAAAAAACTTTTTCTTTCGAAGTTAAAGTATCATAACCAAAGCCAGGGTCTTTCAAATGCTGACCTTCAAGAACCGATCTTACATACAGGAGATGCTATGAAATATCATTCCAAATCAAATCATGCCTGCTTTTTTCAACTTGGAGAAGATGAATACAGTATTTTACTCACCTACTTGGTACTTTTTCTCTTAGGTATGGTTATGGCTTCTAAGATTAAGGATTAGGATTTGGGATTGTGTTTTAGAGTTAGGTGCAGTAAGTTGGAGGAGAGTGTCAGAAATATCAGTAGATCTCAAAGTACCATGACCCCTATAGTCACCTAGATGAATGGGTATATCGTGCGCATGCTACGATTTCTCTATAGATAGATCTATCTGTGTGTATTGACAAGGAGACATTCTTACAACACATAAGCTACAACTATACAGTGTAATTATCAAGTTTACAATGTTTTCTGTTCCGATTACTCAACGATTGTGCGACTTTTTTTGCATCTAAATTCGTGATTAGTTGTTCAAGTTCATTGTGATTATTTTGGCTATGATATAGTTTAACTTTGCCTCTGTTTCTTAAACAAACTAATGGACTTCTTACTGAGCAAAATTCTATGTTGAAACTCTGCCGACAAGCCAAATTGAGTTCTCTTTTTCTGTATTGTCTACAATTTATGTCAGATTGTGACAAATATGCTGTTGTAATTTTTTGTAATCGT